ATCTCCAAGGGAGATCCAAGGCCTGATCCACCACAGTTCCAGAGACACGTCAGTGGAGTGAGGCTGGTTCACATGCGCTGAAGCCTCTGCTCCCCCAGATCTGTTAGAGCAGAGAGTGTCCTAGTCCCCTTGGGGACCAGCAGACAGGAGGGTGGCTGCCTGCCCTCAACACCTCCAGACCCACCCTCTGCCTCTCCTCCACCAGGTTTCCGGGATGTCCACATCCAAGTGCTCCTTGGCTTCGGGCTCCTGGTGGCCTTCCTCGGCCGCTATGGGCCAGGCAGCGTGGCCATCAGCATCCTCATCGTGTCCTTTGCCATCCAGTGGGCCATACTGATCCAGGGGTTTTTGTACTTCTTCCTCAATGGCAAAATTTACGTGGGAGCTCGGAGGTAAGGCAGGAGGGAGCTGCTGCTGTCCAGACACACTCATCCCAGCCCAGCCCTGGAACACTGGCTCCCTCCTCTGTAAAACTCACAGTTCTGCCTTGGAGAAGGAGTTTGATGACAAGTAGGACCAGGCCTCTGGGTTGTTTGAGTGCCACACTAGTAAGGGCCATGCAAGTACTGCCAAGGCTACAGCCAGGCATTTAGGGGGGCACACTGGCCCCTGCCTGCCCCCAGCCCAGCTGTCCCTTCGTCACAACACCGCAAGGCTCAGGCTGCCTGTTCAGCCTGCAGGGGTGGTGGGATGCAGGGTCTGGGCTGTGGGCTCTGCTCCTGCCCCCCCATTCCTGCTCTCTCCAGCTCCTGAGCTCCTCCCAGCAGTGCCAGGTCCAGTCCCACACCTTCCCTCTCCTTCCCAGCATGGTCAGTGCCGACTTCTGCACCGCGGCCGTTCTGATCTCCACCGGAGCTGTTCTGGGCAGGGTAAACCCTGTGCAGATGCTGCTGCTGGCCCTGCTGGAAGTCACCCTCTGCACCCTCAATGAATACATCCTGCTCAGCCTCATGGGGGTGAGTCACCAGCTGAGAGGGGGGCGGGCACCACAAAGGGTATGTCCGTGGGTTTAGGCTCCTCATGTTGTGTCCTGACTTGTCTGTAGAGATAAATCCCTTATCCCCAGTTCCTGCACGGTGCTTTTCTGTATTCACCAGGTAAGCGACAGCGGGCGCTCCTTGACCGTTCACACCTTTGGGGCTTACTTTGGCTTGATGGTTTCACGGATCTTGCACCAGCCCCATATGGACAAGAGGAAGAGGGAGGACCAGCAGAACACGGGGCACCAGGCGGACGTTTTTGCTGTGGTTGGTACGGAGCTCAAATCCTACAAACTGGAGTCACAGGGTTTTTGGTGGAAGGGCATCACCAACATCAGGACAGTGAGGCTGTGGCTTTGACCAGGAGATTCCTGCAAACCACCTAGGACAGAGGTCCTTCCCCTCCCCAGGAACCTGTCCTGAGGCTGCACCGCCCTCTCCTAGAAGAAGCTTTGCCCCATGTCCAACCTGAATCACCCTTGCTGTGGCCACTTGAAGCTCTTGGCACTAGCAAGGAATTTCTTTCCACAAGGGATCAACCCCAGCTTCAAAACCTACCTGTTCCACTTCCTTGCAGGAACCATCTACCTGTGGATCTTCTGGCCCAGCTTTACCTCAACCACCTCTGTTCATGACAATGCTGAGCCCTGGGCAGTGCTCAACACCTACTTCTCACTGGTGGCGAGTACCATCGCCACCTTCATGCTATCTCCTGTCCTCTACGAGGAGAGCACCCCACGGATGGTAGGTGCTCTCCTGGGACAAACCCAAGTCTCACACATTGCCCACATCCTGTCCTGCACGGGACAGTGAGTGTGAACACACCCAGGGCAAAAGGAGATGTCTGTTAGGCTTTCTGAGGTTCCCCAAGGCAGACAGCCTCCCCCAGCCCCACGCTGGTGTCCTCCATGGAGCCAATTCCCCCGACCGTGTCCTGCTCCATCAGGTTCAGATCCAGGATGCCACCTTGGCTGGCGCTGCCGTGATGGGTATGGCTGGGGAGATGTTGGTCACCCCCTTTGGGGCCCTCATCACAGGGTTTCTGGCCGGCCTGATCTGCCCACTTGGCTTCAGATTCTTCACGGTGAGTCACCTCAGGACAGCTGAGGACACTGGTCCCAGCTCAGGGGACCTTTGAGGGCAGCTGCATCACCAACCTGCAGCTCCCAAACCTGCAAACACGGAGCTGCAGCGCCCAGCCCTGGGCAACCCGACCTCCTTCCCAACACCAGCCCTTCCCTGTGCTCTCCCCAGCCTGTCCTGCAATCCAGGCTGAAGATCCAGGACACGTGTGGGGTTCACAATGTCCATGGGCTGCCGGGGATACTGGGTGCCCTGCTGGGGGTGCTGCTGACACTGCTGGCCACCGCAGACGCTTACGGTGACAGGTGAGAAGAGCCAGAATCGGGTGCCGGTGACTCGGTGCATCAAGCTGGGGCCACCATGACCCCTGAGAGCAGGAATGCTCCACACACCCTCTGTTACAGCACCCCCTTAGAGGCGCAAGCCTGGGACAACCAGCTCCCCAAAAAGCTCTCTGGTTTGCAGGCTGGAGCTCGTGTTCCCGCTGGTGGCCCAGGGCAGCCGGACGGCCGCTGACCAGGCGGTCTTGCAGCTCTGTGCCCTGCCCCTCACCCTGCTGCTCGCCACGCTCGGGGGCTGCCTCACGGGTGAGTTTTGCCTCTGGTGCGACAGGGTGAAGGGTGTGAGGGGCAGGGGAATTGGTGGATTTGGACGGGGGAGAAAGCAGGAGCAGCCCCAAAGCAGAGCATCCCCGTCGGACGGGACGGACAGAGCCCAGAAGTGCTCGGCGCTGAGCAAACCCGCTGGGGCCAGGGTTACACTCGAGATCGGGCACCCTCCGTGGCCGGGGCTCCCCACGAGGTCGGGGGCTCCCCCGGGGCCGTGCTTCCCTCGGGGCCGAGGCTCCCCCCGGGGTGGTGGCTGTCCATGGCTCCCTCGCTGCCATTCTGCCCTCAGGAATGTGGCTCCCCTCGGGGCTGGGACTCCCCCCGGGGCCGTGCTCCCCTCGGGGCCGCGGGCCCCGCGGGCCCGGGGCTCCCCCCGTGCCCGGGGCTCCCCGCTGCCCAGCCCGGCGCTGCCGCTAGATGTCAGGGGAAGCCCGGGCAGCGGCCGCCCGGCTCTCAGACGCCCTCGCCCGGCTTTCGGCATCCTCAGGAGCCGTCCTGAAAATCAAGGCGCTGAGGTCTCCCCCGGACAAGGGAAACCTGGAGAACACCGTCCTCTTGGAGGTAAAGCTCGCTATTTTCTGGTAAAAAAGAGGTTTACAGGACTCAGGCAGCCCATACCCTCCCTCCTCTTGCAGCAGCATTTTGGGCAGGGGAGATGCAGTAAACGCCCCGGTCATGGAATCATAGAATCACTACCTGACTTTGGGTCGGAAAAGCCCTCTAAAACCACCGAGTCCAACCATTCCCACCGCACTGCCAAGGCCACCACCAAACCATGTCCCCAGGTGCCATATGTGGATTTTTCCAGGGATGGTGACCCCACCAGTGCCCTGGGCACCCTGTGCCAGGGATGCACAGCCCCTTCCATGAGGATTTTCCCCAATATCCTGTTTAAACCTTCCCTGAAACTTGAGGCCGTTTCCTCCTGCCCCCATCCGACCCCTATCTGCCCCGAGCAGGGCCTGTTTCTGCCCCTCTCCACGTCTCTGTCTAGGAGCAGGTGGACAAGGAAGGATGTGACCCCAGGACAAGTGGGAAGGAGCCAGGCATCAGCACCTTGGTGTAATGATCCCAAATTCCCGGTGAGGTCCTGCACCACCAGGATGAACCCTCTGCCGTTGCCAGTGCCAGGTGACTTTTGGCAGCCCAAAGTTCCCAGCAGCCTGTTCTGGAGACAGCCACCATATCCCCATGTGGGAGCCAGTTCCTGGTCCCAAATGTTTTGGGAGAAGCCGGATGCCCACAGGCCTTTGCAGGGTGAAGAGATGCTGCAGTGATCCAGGTGTTTCTGTGGGAGCAATCCAGCCTTCTCCAGGGATACCTCAGGGTGTCCAGGCTTGGCTCAACCACTTTCCCTCTCTGCTCTGTGCCTCAGTTTCCCCATCTGCTGCTCTCTGAAGGGATGAAGGCAATGGGGGGGGGTTGGAGAAGGGGCACAGGAGGCTGCACAGAAAGCAACAAAGACTTTCTATGGTCACTTTTGCACACAACAATTAAAAACCTCAGATCATTTGTAGCTTTGGGACTTGACAGTGAATTCCCACAGCCTCTCTGCTGGCTGTTTCCTTCAGGTGTGGTTCCAGGGAAGAAAGAAAAGCCCCTCAGCCCCCCTGCATCCTAAAGACTGTTGCCCATGACGAGGGTTTCATGGGTTGTCCCAGCCACCCAACAGGGTGCCTTGGCCACTGGAGGGTGGGACAGCCAGAGCAGCCAGCACCCAGGGGCAGGAGCAGGATGACACCGGGGTCCCCACAGAGAGGTGACCCCTGCCTTTCCCTGATCTCTCACCACCTTGTGCCAGGGGCTGGGGCCAAGGAAGAACCCCCTCCTCAAGGAGGTGCTCCCCGAGCCCTCGGCCCCACTGGGAGAGGGATGTTCCCCTGGCCACTGCAGCCATCCCCACATACCCTCACAGAGAGGCCCTCACCTCACCTGCCTGCCCCAGGTATGGGCAGCAGCCCCAGACCTGCCCGAGAGCAGGTTGGAGCACCCTGGGACTGTGGCAGCTCGAGGAAACCCACAGAGGGTCCTGCAGCAACTGGAGCATGGGCACAGCCCCAGAGGACTCTCAGTGGGGTGATGGTGGCCCTGCCAGGGGTCCCTGGTGGGGGGAGACCTTGGGGTCCCACCTCCCACAAGCCTGGGACAGCCAGCAGATGCTTTCACACCTCCTGTGCCAGCCTCCAGCGCTCGCCATGGGGGGTTCCCGCAGGCACAGGTGTCCCCAGCTGCCAGCACCATCCCTGGGGAGGGGGTCACAGCCCCACCCCACGCAGAGGGCCAGGGGGTGCAGGGCCAGCACAGTGAAGTTTGGGGTAAGTGCTTTGCAACCCAACCAAAGTGGCCACAGGTGGGACCATCTTGTCCTGATACCTGCTGCTGTTGAAGCACACAGGTTTTCTTTACTGACTGCACCAAAGATGCAAAAAAAAAAAAAAAAAAAAGGCATTTGTTTGCAGGTGATAACAAAACACAGCAGAAAGTCAAAATTTCTTGCTTTGATATAAGTCAAAACATCACTTTAAGTTCTTTCCACTTTCGTGGCTCGTTACAGAAAACTGGTGAAATCAGCACATTAAATGCTTTGGTGCCACTGAAATTCCGTGGCAAAACACGGTGGAAGTGGGTCACCCGGCTCCGTTTCTGCTGCCACTGCAGGCGCTGAGGGTTTCTACAGGGACCACAGCTCCACTCCACGTTCAGGCCGCAGGGGAGGACACGTCCCCGTGTCCATGCCCCTGTGACACACGCCCCGTGCCACGTCGCAGGGGTGGAGTGCGAGAAGGAGAAGCGGCACGAGGGCTGGTGCCCAGCAAGGGGCTCCAGCCGTACCCCCAGCCCGGGGTGCAGCGCTCACCCCGGCCCCGCGCCACCCCTTCCCACCTCACCTCCTTCCCAGCCCTCTCCTCCCCTTTCCCAGGCAGCCCCTTTCTCCTTTCTGATCTCCTCGCAGCGCATTTGAAAAGCAACCCACTGCGACGGGGAAGAAAAGCCCCTCCAGTGAGATCATTGCGAGACCCCCGGACGCCGGGGTCGGGCATGAAACGGACCTCCCTCCTCCTCTGCTCGCCCGGCCCCTCTGAAAGGCTGTTATGTTCTGTAATCGGATTAGGGGAGCCCTGCGCCCTCCCCACGCCCGTGTTACCAGCGCGCCCGGCCCGCGGCCGCCGCTCTCCCCGCGGGTTGTTTAAGCGAGCGCAGGACTCGCCCGTGCAGCGGCCGAGGGGAGCCGGGACGGCGAGAGCCTGAAAGGTTTAGTCAGCGAACAAATTGCTTCTCTGTAGGGGCCGTTTTCTTCCCCAAGTTGAACATAATGATGGCAGTTTGAGGAACAGATGGCGCAGCTAAGCAGATAATCCCGCCGGCCCCGCGAGCTCGGGGAGAGGCAGCGCCCTCTCTGCCCACAGCGCCGGGGGCCCGGCCCCGCACTGGAGGGTCACAGCAGCGTCTGGGTGATGGTGGCACCCCGGCGGGGCTCGGGGAGCTTGGGCACCTTCACACCTCTCCTGCCTCGGGGGATGGTTCGAGTGCCAGACACCACTCGTGCCTCAGTTTCCCCAGCCCCGTGGGGAGGTCTCTGCTCCGCCACTTTTCAAGGCAGGGCTCACCCTCAGATCGCAGCCTGACGTGGGGGGATGCAATGTGAGACAGCACAGCTTTCCCTGCACCGAAGCAAAGGACAGCTGAGAAAAGCTCATCCTATTCTTATTTTCCTGTTTTGCCTCTCTCCAACAATATTCAGGATACGGAAAGAGTGGAAGGAATTCCACCAGCTCTCAGGGTTGGGTGTATGGTGTGCCCGTGTCAGGCTCAGGGATGCCAGGACCCTTCTGCTGAACGAGTCTTTAAAATACATCAGCAGGAAAAGCCCAAGATCCCACAGACACGACACAGGCAGCACAGGGCATGCACGCATCCACCTACCCGTGCCACACTGGCACCAGGGAACCTTCCCCACACCACGGGCTCTCACAGCCTTCGGGACACGCTCCAGGCACGCTGCACCGCATGCCTGCGTCCAAGGGGTTCATTTAATTCATGTTTCCCCACCTCCAGCCCTGTCCCCTGAGAGCCCCGGCTCTGACAGCTCCCCTGCCCTCTCCGCGGCAGCCCAGCTGCCAAGAGACCTGCCTAATTCACCTCTTGCTAATGCAGGAGCTCAATCAGCTGCTCTAAGGGTGTTTTACAAGTCAAAGCAATAACAACATCCCCCAGCTACAGCTGGGGAAACTAAGGCACACAAAGAGGTGCCCCGGAGTCCATTGGAATTAGAAGCAGGACAAAGCCTGGGCTCCCCGAGCTCCCGGCATACATGTCCTTACACATCCGCAGCCCCCACTGCCTCCCCACCCCCCGGAGCAGCTGATGCCGTGTGCTGTTTGATAGAAAGCCAGCTAATCATCTTTCCCACCTTCGTCAGAGTGTGAATCGTTATCCCAGCGACACCTGTAAAGCTCCTTGTCAGACGAGGCTGGTGCACACATCTAATAATGGGCACCATATGGGAGAGGGAAGGCTCGGGAGAGGAGCAGGGGCCCGACCATCCCTGCACCAAACAAAGAGCAGTGCCTGACCGCTTCCCAGTGCAGCCCAGTATCACCAGCACCCGTCTGAGGGACCAGCAGCAAGAGGAGAGCCTGGCTGGTGGAGGAAGAGCCGCTGCTTGTGGTAGCAGCTCCTGCCCTTTGGAAAAGGACCTGGCAAAGGCTGGAGCGTGCAGGTTAAAGGCAGGAAAGCCATCGGGCCCTGCTCACCACAGCGTGCCCAAAGCCTGGGACTGGACACCCCAAATCCACATCTCCCCATGCCTTGGAGCCTCTGCTCCCTGCCAGCCTGGCAGCAGCACCCTGGGTGCAGACAAACCTCCCAGGACCCACAGTTTAGATGGTGACAGGGAGGACATGGAGTAAATTATAGACAGGTTCCTGCACTGGGACTGATCCAGAGCCCCTCGGATTCCCTCCCTGACCCCAAACACTGGGGGCAGAGCTCTGCCCCTCTGCCAAGCCACCCCCCAGTGAAAGCCCCCACCACCCTCAGCCCACTGCAATTACAGAGCCACGATTTGAGGCCCCCATTCATGGCCAGCAGCATAATGAGCCTCCGGGCACCATCGGCGGGGGCAAAGCAATTAAAATTGCTGCCGTGGCGGCTGCGTGGGTGGCTCTGGCGTGGGCAGCTGCCAGTGCCCGTTTTGGGGCGAGCGGGCACCGCCAGGCCGGGCAGTGCCTCAGAGAGCTGCATCTCCCCGGGGCGAACAATCGACTCGTTCTTCGCCGGGTCCAAAGAACGATAAAATAAAATAAAGAGGGAATAAAGGCCCCAGTAAAACTGGGAGTCAAGTTTATTTACAAACTGAATATGAAGTGAAGGGCCCGGAACAAAGGTGTTATGTAAGGGACGGTCACTAAGGGGCTCTTTACCCACGCTAATTGCCACTTGCTCCGTGATATCCATTTATCTCCCAGCTGAAATGGCCTCCTTAGGCTTGTGGGTTCAAGCACTGCTTGTTTGCAATGCTGCCCGGTGCAATTAGTGCACCAGAGCAGGGGCTGATGCACTCCCACCACCCAAGCCCACCAGGAAGCCTCACACCTCCCTGAAAAGTGGGATCATGCCCACAGTGGATGGATGTGCCAGTGGGCACATGGCTTGGTAGGGAGAGGTGCTGCCCTGAGCGGGGCATCGATGTTGGTTGTGTAATAGGGAGGGAAAACACGGCTCAGTTCTTTGGGAGGAGACCTCCAGGTCCCTGCATCAACCCAGCCTGGATGGTGAGGAGCAGAAAACCATCACGAGATGCTCGTGGAGGTGGCTGTGAGAGTGACAGCCCTGGAAGGAGAACAAGGTCTGGAGAGGATGAACAGAACCCTGTGTTTGCCTTGGTGTTTCCAAGGGGTCCAGCTGGAAACTGCCCTCAGGTGCAAAAGCCCAAAGGGCAGAGACTGGTAATAAAAACCCCTGTGGGGAGAAGAAGCTGCTGTGATTGCTGCTGGGCCTGCAACATGTGGCCTTCTGCTCCCATGCCTGCCCTCACCCTTGGCTTGTCCAGGGGTGTGAAGACCA